CTATTAACAAAAGTGGTAATAATATTAATTCAAGATGTATAAATATTATTGGACTTACCAATTGAAACAAACATAAGTTCAAATATTTTTATGATTTGCTTTAATTTCTTTTATTTTGACAAAAATATTTAATGAAATAATTTTAGTTTGGAATCGCATATAAAAAAATACATTGAAAAATATGCACAATAATATAAAACATGATGCATATTAACAACGCTAATCGAAGATATGTTTAATAAAAAAATTTTAGCCAAAAAATATATTTTTAAGTTGTAAATAATATTTTATTTCACTTATTTTAGTTAATTATGTTAACCAACTGAATAAACAAATTAATTCGATACAATGTTATTTCAGTTTTGAGATAAAAGTTCGACGGACTCATAGTGCACAATATCATCTGAAATATTGCACGATATGATTAGAGGAGTTGCACAATAATGACTGCCAAAATGCATTATTATTAAAAAATATGCAATTTATAAAAAATCTACCAAAAACAATATTTTTTATCATATATTAATACAATAACTAAAAACATTTGAAAATAATAAGATATAGTAATAAAATAAATTAGTATATACTCAATTAATATATGCACAATAGTTATAATTAAAAATACACATTATTAAAATATTCTAAACTTGGAATGCACATAAAAAATACCCGCTCAATCAATTGGACAATAATACTAAACTAAATGCAAATTATTGTCTATAAAAATGCACATCGTTAATTTTGGTATTTCATACATTGTCTATTTATAATAAAAATTCATGTAAGGTATTAAATAAAATTATTCAAAAATTAAATAATTATTTTTATAATATAAAAAAATAGATTATTTATAATAATTATGGTAATTAGGTTAACCGGATAAATAAACCATGTATTTCAATTCGGTTTTTAATTTGGTTGGGAAAAAAGTTCGTTTGGTACAAACGTCAGATACACAATAGCGACTGGGACACTGCACATTAGTGTTGTACATATTACACATTAATGTGTGACAGATTGCACATTAACGATCAAAATTGAAATAACTATATTTTTTATCTCCGAACTTATATATGTTGGTTACTTTTAAAATTTAAGTTATCTTGAATTTGATAATTCAACCGAAATAAAGTTATTTCGATAATCTTAAAATTTATATATTTCTATTATTTCGATCAAATTTGAAATAGCTGAGCTATATAAAAAAATTATTATTATGATTTATATATTTTTATGTACTACGATTGCACATTATGATTATATGAGTTGCACATTAATGACTATATAATTGCACAATATCAAAAATCAACTAAACTAAATTTTTGGTTCAATTAATAATTATTTACTTTTTAAAAACTCAATTATTTAAGTTCTAAAGTCACCTTTATTTTTTAAAATAACTAAAATAATTGAACTTTACGAAAATTATTATTATTATTTTTATTATTATAGACAAATATTGTGAAAATCACATATTAAAAAAATGATGTATTTATCAAATTTTTAATAATTTCATATACATATGACAGTATTTTTTAAAGTGCACATCTAGACACAATATTGTGCATATAATGTCACATTATTGTGCATAACTAATGTCTATTAAATTATAAATTGCCCTCAAGTAATAAACTACACACATTAAAAGTTCAAAAATTGTAAAAAAGTCCCTTAACTATATCTAATTTTCGAAAATAAGTTCAGCCCAAAACAATGAAAAACACCCATTCATTTGCTCAATCTCAGCCGATTCGCCCAATATCTGCCCCAATATCGACCAAATCGCAGCCCCAATTCACCGTTTCTCAATCTCAACCTTGATTCCGCCCATCCCACCCACAATTTCGCCGCATCTCAGCCCCAATTTCGTCGCTACCAAAACTCAACCGTAGGAGTCGCCGTCATCCCGCCCGAACAGTGTCGTCGCTGCAGTCCCAAAGCATACATCACGTAACAGTGTCGTCGTCGCAGGCGCCGCCGCGTTGCCTCGCTAGTCAGCTCCTTGTCTCCGTCGCCATCGCGTCGCGCCGCCTTCGTCCGCTGTCGCATCGTGCATCGCCTCCGTCCGCTGCATCGCCTCCGTCCGCCGCCGTGTCTCCTAGCCTCAGTCAGCCGCGACGCCGTCGACGACATCCGTCAGCTGCCGCGTCGTCTCATCCACCGCCGCCGAGTCGCCTCATCTCCGGCCACCACCGCGTCGCCCCAATCTCCGACCGCCGGCAGCAGAAGCACGGCGGCGGAGCTCCGCCGCTGAGAAGACGACGAGTTGGTGTTCTACGTGTGTGTG